TGTAAGGTGCAGATGTTTTCCAGAATATTCATGGAATATTAGGATTTAGAGGGTTAGTATACACCTCTTAATTGCATACACTCTTTGAACTTTTGTAGTATATGCTATTGAACAAAAACAATTGGGTAGTTTGGTGCTGTCTTCAGGTATGTGGGGGAGGGGGACCTTGAGCAAGTTGCTTTCAATGGACCCCCATTCCTAAGTGGGCCTGCCATCTTGGTGCCACCACTGCTGCTCAATTCCTTCCCTTTTGGGGGGACCCAAACCATTATTTGGGAAAGATCAAAGAAAGTGGAAGAAATGGCTTCATCCCTTGCTCTTGTCAATGCTCACTTCCTTGAAGAGCGATGGATGGAGAGGCATGACATCCAGGTACGTAGCTGATTCCTTGCAGAGCACTGGCAAATGCCCAACAATGCCCATTCCTGATGCCAGAATGGTAAGGTGTAAAGGTAAAGGGACCCCTTTACTGACCATTAGGTCCAGTCATGGACAACTCTAGGGTTGCGGCACTCATCTCACTTTACTGTCTGAGGGAGCCAGTGTACAGCTTCCAAGTCATGTGGCCAGCATAACTAAGCCGCTTCTGGAGAACCAGAGCAGCGTACGGAAACACCATTTACCTTCCTGCCGGAGCGGTACCATTTATCTACTTGCACTTTGATGTGCTTTCAAACTGCTAGGTTGGCAGGAGCTGGGACAGAGCAATGGGAGCTCACCCCGTTGCGGGGATTCGAACTGCCGACCTTCTGATCGGCAAGCCCTAGGCTCTGTGGTTCAACTCAGAGCGCCAATAAGGTATACTATTTTCCAAATCCCCTACTCTGTTCCAAGAAGTCAACTTAAAGTGTGCGGCAACAAACGACAACACAGTAGTAGTGGCAACAATGTAACCATTGCAGATGCCAACTCTTTCCACATATCTAACTGAGCAGACACTTGTTTTCTCTGCATCCAGTGCACTCCCACGACTGCTTTAGGAAGTGGTATACACAAGACATTAGCCACAGCCCATTTGCAATTGGATGCATTTCTCCCCAAGACCAGCTTCAGTCCAAAATGAGAAAAAGAATGATCTAGCTGTGTTTTAAGTCATCATTGTGTATATTCTGACAACACTATTACAGAACCTAATAATGCCATTGACAACATCACATGCTTCTTCTCCTACTCTTCTTCCTTATGCCAGTGTCTCCTAGGAATGTTCTTTTCTGCATTCTACATAGGACAAACGCCATGCAAAAGACACTGTGCAAAAGGATAAATGGGCACAAATCTGACATCAGGAATAGTAGTATTCAAAAGCAGGGTTGGGGGCATTTCTGCTTTCCAGGACACTCTGTAAATGACCTTCAAGAACAAAGAATCTAACCAAGACAAAGGCATTTTAGCACATTATATGTTTTAATTAGCTTACCAATGCCAGGATATCTGTGCCATCAAAAGATGTTTTAGGAATTACCATTGTTAAGTATGTAATTATCACTGCACTTTTCTGCATGTCATTTCACTCTGACCTGACTTTTTACGATCTCCCCCCAACCATGGTATATAATTCAGGCATGTCCAACAGGTAGATCATGATCATCTGGTAGATCACAGGGTGTTCCTGGTAGATCCTGGTAGATCCCTGGCCCCTCAGTGATCCCCCCTCTCCCCCAAAAAGCTCGACAACTTTGGTCCATCCAGCGACAATGGGTAGATCACTGCCAGTTTTTTTTATACTGTGAGTAGATCACAGTCTATTGGGAGTTGGACTTCCCTGGTATATATATATTTACCCACGACTCAGGATAACACTTTGTGCATCTGATAAAGTAGACTGTACTCCATGACAGCTTTTCCCATAATAAATCGGTTAATCTCTAAGGTGCCACAAGGCTCCAACTTTCTTGGTTTTGATGTGGAAGGCTTAACACGGCTGCTCCTCTGGAAATCATAAAGTGTAAAAATTGTCTTATCGTGAAGTACAGGAATTAAGCAGAAAAAGGAATCAGGAGTACATTTAACGGCAAGCAGAAAATCTAGCAGCAGCGATAGAAAACAGTATCAGTCTTAACTCTCTCTTTTTAGAATAATTAAGTGCAGGCCTACACATGGAAGCACTAACCAATCCTTTACTATGTGGCCTCAGTGGGAATCCCTATAATAGAGCCAGACAGTCATTCTAGGGCCAGTTCTTACGTTGCATGAGCAACGTATCTCATGCTCCCCCATAGCTGCTTCCCACTCCACCCTGGTCCTATTAAAAGAGAGATTATGTGGGAGGGGATAATGACATGGTGACTTGCTACAGCAGCCTCGCCCCACCCCCTGGAAGGGGCCAGATTGACATGGGATAGAACAACTTTGCCAGCCCCTCCCACATGACTTAGCGGCTTTAATTTTACTGGGATGACATAGGTAGCAAATGCAGGGAAGTAACAATCATGCTACTCCCCCTAAGGTAAAAACCCAGACCTTACTGCACATCCAAGAAACCTGAAAGTGCAGAATCAAATGATGTAAAACAGAAGTCTTTGACCTTTGCTGTAAACAACGTTCCCCAGGCCAAGAAATAAAAAGTGTGAGCCTCTCCAAGTGCAATTAAGGGGAAACAAACAATCCAGCCACAAGGCCAAATGAATCAGCGGGGCAAGGTGGGGTGGGGGAAGCATGAATATCCATGGGAAAGGGGGTGGCACACTGAGAAAAGGAGCACCCACTGCCACCTTCAACAGAAGGCACCAGCTCTGTAGGGAAGCTGACCACATTGCAGTGTAAAAGCCCCCCCCCCCAGTGTTAAGGGCTGGAGATTGCTAAACCTCAGAGGGAAACACCCCTGGCTAGAAGAGCTGTTAATGTTGGACTGTCCACAGTTCTGGCAGAGAAAGGGATGAAGCTAACAATTACAAATGTATTTTTCTTTAAAACTCCCTTCAAGCGAGAAAGGTTTAGGATGTTACTCTTTTACTGGCATGAGAAGATTATAAAGGAGGCTTGGGAGATGGTTTTTCATTGGCCAGTTGCTTGTTTTTTAGGATTATAAATTTGTGTCCTGCAGAAGAGAACATTTCTTGCCTATTCATATTTATTGTGTGTTAGTAGAAGCATTTTCACAATGCTAAGAGATTCCCACATTACAATGATACAGTACACTTAACTCTTTTAAGTGTATTATATCTACTTATTACTGCTGCTACCACCACTATTACTATTGGTATTCACACATTTATCTTCTCCTAGTAAAGTTGTACCTGCATCTGTGGAGGCCTTGGTTCACACATGCCGTGGTTCTTTGTTTGAATGTATCCCTTGGAACAGTTGAGGCACATTGTGTGGAGCTCTTTTGTATCGGGCGAACCAGTTTTCAGTCTTGTTCCACAAACAAATATTTCTAGGAAGCAAATGGATAAGCATCCCATCTGGTGAATGTGTGGATGTTGGGGGGAAACAAGCATCTTAAGTCAGGGTGGGGAACCTCCAGATGTTTTTGGACTCCAGGTCTTCTCAGCTCCACCCATCATGGCCAATGATGAGGCAAGATGCCTTTTGTAGTTCAAAAACATCTGGAGGGGCACTGGTTTCCCATGCCTGGAAATCTTGAGATGGGGCTGGAAGGGGGCAGTCTTGCTCCCTCTCCGCATGTACAATGTATAATAACTGAACAAACCTTAGTTTCATGTGTGTGTGACCAGTACAAGCATGGTTCAGCTACAGAATCCCCTAAATCAGCCTTTGCAAAGTTGATGCCCTCTATAGTTGTTTCAGACTACAACTCCCATGAGCTTTAGCCAACACAAAGATGCTCATTTCCCCTTTACACTTCATGTACCCTTTGCTAGGAAAGCTAGTGTCAGTACAACACACATGCCTGCCACCATGATGATGGCTTTTAGAGAGGGCTGCCATATGTCCAGATTTCCCCAAACTGCTGGGATTTCAAAGGCGGAAGTGACATCTGAGGGGGGGGAGGGGGCTTCTGGAAGGTGGTGGTTTGTCCTAAATCTTTGGCAAGTAGGCTGAAAAATCACGCTTATTTGGCATTGAAAGCTCAAAAACTTCCAAGTTTTCCTTTAAAAAACCAAAACAACTTTTGGGGTGTCCTGGTTTTTACTTTTTGAAATATGGCAACCCTACTTTTAGAACAAAGCCTGGGAAATCTCAGTTTAAAGCCCTGCCAGTCCAAACTCTGAGTGACTGGAGCCAAGTTACTGTCTTTATAAGATGGGCAGATTGCATTAAGTCGCATCTCAGATGTATGAAGATAATACAGTGCTGTGGATATGTTTGAAGAATGCACTTTGTCCTTATCACAGGCTTTCCTTCAGTTTGCAGATATATTTGGCAACCCAGGAAACAGCAGTTTAATTAGAAATCCTAGAAAGGATAATATCCCCTTTCTGGAGAGCTTCTACCAGTCAGTGTGGACCATACTGAGCTAGATGGACCACTAGGACAGTGGCTGGTTGGGAGTCATAATTTAACAGGGGAGATGTTTTTTTCAAGAGCACCCCTATACAGTTTGTAACCCATCCTCCCATGGGAGGGGTTCACACGACACCCCCAAATCCCACACCCCACCACAGGGGGCGTTTCACTGGTTAGAAAGCCAGTGCGGTGCAGTAGTTAAGAGGGTTGGACTAGGGCCTGGGAGAGATCAAGGTTCAAATCCCCTCTCGGCCATGAAGCTCAGGGGGTGACCCCCAGGACTGTTGTGGGGTTTAATTGAGGCAGAGAACCATGCACACCCCCTTGAGCTCCTTGGAGGAAAGATGGGCTATGAATACAATAAAATAAAAATTAGTTAATCAGAACGCTCTATGGCTCATATTAGAGAAACGGGGGGGGGGTGTCTCCATCCTTGTCCCACTGAAACCAGTTGCTCTCCCAGTTTGGGCGACGGAAGGCGGGAAGGTCCCCTGCTCCAGCTGCCCGGCTGCCTCTCCGGCATCCCCGGCGAGGGGCTGAAGGAGGCCGCGCTCTGCCGAGCCTCTCGGGACTTGCTGAGTCCGGCAGGAGGCTGTGGGAGGGGGCAGAGGCGAGCGCAGGGAAGCCGCCGCCGCCGCCCCGCTCCTCCTGCCCCCCTTTGGCTCGGGGCTCGTCTGCCTTGGCGAACCTCGCCTTGCGCTGGAGGGAAGAGCCCTCCTCTCGGAGAGGCAGGGCAGGGCCCCTCCTCTGGAGCGCTGACGGTACCATGATATAATAATGATGGGTGGCGGAGCCCGCATTTGAACTTGCAGGCAAAGCGGGCTGGGTGCATCTGGGTGCCTGCAGCTCCCCAAGCCGGACTTCCACAGCCGGGGATCAGGTGTTCACCACCGGGGGGGTCACGAGGAGAAAAACTCCCGAGCCTGGACCAGCGACTAAGAAGCCCAGGGCTTGCATGAGGGCACTTCTGGATTAACAAGCACGCTGTGATTTTTATTTTTATTTTTTGGTGCTCCTTTCCAATCGTTCTTTTTTTCTTGATTTTTTCCCCAGTCTCTGCAATAAACTGCTTTAAAAGGTAACTATACCCTCCCCTCTAATTTTCTGCATTTGTCGGGTGGGGAAGGTTCCCACCATCTAGGATTCCGCTGCTGTGGCCACTCCAGTTTACCTGTGAAACAAAGAGTTTGGGGAAAGAGAAAAGGGGGCGAGGCGGAAGGAGTGGATTGTTACTTAAAGAAAAAGAAAATCTACGGATCTGGGGCGCAAAGCAAAAGGGTTCCTTTTTGGTGGGAACCACAAGTTCTGGGGAGGGGGGGTGGGAAAGAGAGAGAGAACAAAGAAAAGTGAAAAGAATGGAGGAAGTGTGTGTGGCCGGAGTAATTGAATGGCAGGCAAGGTAGAGTTGGGTGTTTGGCGGCTCTCAAACGGTTAATGGCAGGGGGAGAGAGAGAGAAAGAAAGAAAGAAAGAAAGAAAGAAAGAAAGAAAGAAAGAAAGAAAGAAAGAAAGAAAGAAAGAGAGAAGTCTTTGTAGGGGCTTGAATGCACAAAGCGGAGCTGGAGGAAGGAGGTGGTAGAAAGCCGGGTGGGTTTCATTATTGTTACGATGATTATTGCACTGATAAGGTTCGGCTGAATGGGCTTGAACAGCCCGCGAGGATGGTGGTGGCGAGGATGAGAGACCGCTTCCCAGCCACGCCGAGGTGGCTTGGGATTCCTGGGAAGCAGCCTTCCTCCTCCTCAGGTTGGGGTGGGGGGTCTCGGGAGCCGGGAGAAGGGGGTGAAAGAGAATAGAAACCCTGCAGCCCCACTGGTAGGCGACCAGGAGGAAAGGGGGTCTCCCCCTCGTCCCCTCCCCTTGGCACCCCCAGCCGGCTTCAACTGGTCTTGGGGAACATTTCCCCGTTTCTTTCCCACCGTCCTTCTCCTGCTCACCCACCGACACCTTTTTTTGTGTTTTAAAGTGTGCGGGGAGAGAAATGGGGACGTTGAATTGGCGGGGGAAGCCCCTCCGGTGAAGCAGGAAAGCGTTGGGGAAGTGACCGGAATTCCCTTTGCATCGGCATTTGGTTCAGAAAGAAACGTGAATGCTCAAGGAAGGCTTCGGCGAGGCATCTGTCTAATCAGTTTCCTACCCAGATTTCCGACAGGAGTTGCTGGAAAGGAGTTCAAGAGGCTAGAACGCTTTGAGGAAGTGGGAGGGAGGGGGAGATTAAGGGGGGGGGAGAGCCAACCCCCAAACTTTAATCTTGACCCACTGCTCCAGATTGCAAAACGCATCATCCCGAGGGGGAGGCAACTCCATCCAGAACTGAGTTCAGACTTGGCAGGTCAGAAAGAGCGAATGTGCAACATGGAAAAAACTGAGGGTGGGTGTGGTGGTGGTGCGGGGGGGGGAGGGGATGGAAAGAGTAAGAGTTTTGTTTTCGTGCACTGAAACGTTGTGTCGGAGGATGGAGCGTTGTTTGGTCTGCTTCGGGCCGGTTGCTTATGTTTCAGGCGTGCTGGAGGAGGAGGCGGCGGCGGGCGGGGTGGAGAGGATCTTTCCCCGCTCGGGTTTGCTTTTGGTGCGCGCCTGTGTCTCTGCCCAAGGGAGTTTGCGTCCGGGGGAGAAGCTCCTCCGAGGTTTCTTCTGTGCAAAAGGAGCGATGTGCAACTTCCCAAGCCACCGCCAGCCCCTCTGGCGGGCTCCAAAATGTCACTGGGGGTGGGGCGGCGGCGGGTCAGGATTTTCTCCGCGGCAGGAAAAGTCTATGTCATCGCCATCGGTTCGGCAAGGAACTGTTTCTTTCCCCAGCGCAGCTGCTTTCTTTTAGACAGACTCACCACCCCTCCCAGTCCGGGTGCGGGGGGGGAAGGGATTTTTTTGGGCAGATTTTAAAAAAAAGTTGGCTGGAGCTGGGGGGGAAAGCCCATCCAAAGACGCCCCCGCGCATCCTCCTCCTTCCAGGGTCCGGGACGCAATCTCCTCTTCCCCATTTTGCAGGAAGTCTTGCTTGAGCAAATGAATGGGCCGCCGCTTGCAGCTTCCTGCTCCAGTCCCTTTCGGGTTCCGATGGACCACGCTTTAAAAAGCCCAGGACGTAGAAAGGACAGGTTTGAAAGCGCGGAGCGCTCACCTCATCCACCCCGAAGTCGGAAATCTAGGAATCGGACGCTTTTTTGATAGACCCCCGGCTCCCCCTGCTGGGGAAACTGCGAAGGAAGGCTGGAGGCGGGGAAGGGAAAGTTCATTCACACAAGTATTCTTGGGCAAGCATCTTCTCTCACTAGGGAGAACACGATACTTGCACGCATTGCGCTACCTCGGGGATTCTTAATGCCACAAGAGATCACCAATTAATGCCTTCTAGCCGTCTTCCCGATCATTTAGCAAGTTTTTTACGGTTCCTTTCCATGCGCAACTTTTCTTGAACTTGGAACGGAATGTTATTACCGTAGTAGGCAATAAACGTTCTGTACGTACCACAAATGTTGTGGGGAATAAATTTTGCTATCGTAACGAAAAGATAATTTATCAGTTCATTCAAGCTCCGTTTGAACCGGCTTAATTTGAGCCAGGGATCTCACAATTTATTTATTTATTTATTTATTTATGGCGGAGCGAAAGTCTGGAGCACGTGAAAAGTAATAATACAGAGGCGTGGACTCCGGACTAGTTTGATGACTGCATCAAGCGATTAGCAATGCCTTTGCATGTGTGAATGAATGAGCCTTTGCAGTTCACAAAGAGAATATTCACACATCCGGGCACGTCCTAGCATTTTGGAGATACCGTAACTCTTATTTTCAGCGGAGCCAGTTCACACATTGGATTTAAAAAGCCGCATGCACGTGGGAACTGACTCCTTGAGCATAGTCAGGGTGTGTGTGTGTGTGTCTGGAGGGGGTGCTGTGGGGGGGCGTTCTTTCCTGCTGCACACATCTGGAAGTAGGGATCGGGCTTTCAAGTAAGGAGGCAAGTCTTTCCGGCAGACTTTATTTACTTTTTCATGCAGCCAGGCAGCGGTATCTGTATCTCTCCAGATGTTTCGGGACTCCAGCTCCCACCAGCATGACCAATGTGCAGGAATGATGACGGGCCACCCACCGGCTCCGAGTCCCTGCCAGAGTATCGTCAGGGTACAAGACCCCGAGTTGCTTAGTCTTACGTCAGCGAGGAGCATACCATGGGAAACAGGAACCCCAGCTGCCCCCAACCTTTCCGTTAGTCTTGCCTCTGACCACCTTTCCTATTCCACGCGGACTCCCTTGATTCGAATCTTTGCTTCCTTCCTACTTAATGGCCCGAATCCTTTCTCTTTCTTTCAAAAATGGAAACGAAACCAACACGTGATAAGAAGCCCCAGTTGGGATCTTGTGGATCCGAGGCTTTTAGCTGCCTCGGAGTGATGCGTAATAAGACGCGCTCCAAGACAAGCAGCGAATCCCACGTTTCTTTGGCGAGAGAAAGAAAAGTCTTGTTCCGCTTTTCTTCCGGAGCGGGCGGGCGCGAAAGGGCGAAGAGATCCCCACAGACTCCCCATAGAGACTCTGCACAAATGCAGTTTCCGATGAAGATGGGTCCCGCCTCTGAGAACGGGGGCAGAAGGGACCGTGTCACATTTCGGATTTGATTCCCAATGGAGATGGAGCCAGGAATCTGGCAAAAAGGCTGAGCAGTTCCAGCCAGCTGTTGTTAAAAATAAAATAAATCCGGGATCCATAATGCGCCCCTTTCCCACTCCCCATAGCAGAGCAGGATCTGGGGGTGGGGGGCGCGCCCTGGGCGTCGCCTCCTGCCTACTCCCGCCTTGCCTGGGAGCGGGAGCCTGGGAGGTCTGGTTCTCCCGGAGCCACGTGGACTGAGGAGGTTCAGCTGGGAGGCAGTCTTGCTCCTCCTTTGTCCTTGCCTGTCTCGTGTGAAGTTAGGAGCTGCTGCGGAGCAGTTTGCCCGGCGCCTTTTGTCTAACGACGACAAGAGCCAGGAGAGAGAGAGGGAGAGAAAGAGAGAGGGAGAGAAGGGCTGAAAGTCAGAGAGGTGACCCGGGAGATGGCGTTCCGAGACGCTCACGGAATATTAAGGTCGTCTGCAACAGCGGCTGCGGAAGGCGGCGTGCATCCCGCGGGTTGCTTTATTAGCGACATGGCCAGGCTGAATGGGGGTGGCAGGGGAGGACACGGGCAATCGCAAGTGGAAAGAGGCCAGGTACCATTGCGAGCAATTGCCAGGATTAGCTGGTTTGTTCCCCCACCCCTGTGGGAGACTTTCCTGGTTTGCTATGACATCAGCTTGAGAAGACAGCCAATGAAACTGCTTGCTTCACATGCATGAAGCAGACAAAGAATGTCTTAGGTGGGAGCAGGAGGAGAGGCCCGCTGAATCAGACCAAGCAAAGGGTCTGTCTCCTTCAGCATCCCGTTTCCCACAGGGGCCTCCCAAATGCTTTGGGGAAGCAGGCCATAAAAGCAACAGCCCTCTTCCGTTGTTTTAATCCCCCACCATCTGGAACTCAGAGGTATAGTGCCCCTGAATCTGGAGGCTCCATCTAGTCCCCCTGACTTACAGTCAGAGACGGACATTTTTGTTGTTGATTTGTCTTAGTCCACTTTTTAAAGTGTATTGTAGTGGGGGTTGGGAATGGCCAGTGAAGTAGGTTGTTGCCTTCAGAATAGCAGGACCAAGTGAAAAATGTTTAAATATATCCCAGCACAATTTCAAGTATCATCACAGCACAGTTAATGCTTTCTCTCTCTCTCTTTGGCTTTGAAAACCAACATAGCTAGTCTTTTGAGCCTGTTCTACAGCAAGTGGTTATGCTCAGTGTATTGCACAGCACAGGGATATGGCAATACCCCAGTAATTCACTTGTTATTGCTGTGTACATTGAGCTACCTGGGGCACATGAAGAATGAGGATACAGTTACAGTACTGGATACAGTACTACAGAAAATATCAGGGCAGCACAACCAATATATTTTGTGTCATCTTCCTTAAGAGGCCAGCTTGCCTTTAAGAAACAATCACCATTAGGTCATCTAATGGTTATGTATAGGGCAGGTTTGTATCATAAACTGCCTTTTACTGCTCTGACCCA